AAATAAAATGCATTTCATTTATTAATTAAGTTCTATCACGGAGGTTTTAAATCAACCTCCTTGGTTCTATAGAATAATTTTTAAAATGTCTCTGCCCTCAATTTTGAATAAACCACTACAGAAAATTGTTTCATAAACATTTTTGTTTGTTCCGTCTTCATAACTTAATATAACCATTTGTCCTACACGTAAGGACAATAAGGTTTTAAGCTATGTCCTATATTTTCTGTAGATTTAATTACCAAATCATCACTCACATCATCAAAACAAAACGATGATGGTCAGACTGACATGTCCCTTAAAAAAATTAGTTTGTTACACATTATAAATAACTCCATAATATACTTTAAATTAAATTAACATATTAAGTACAAACTGATGTACCCCTTTTGCAATCTGAGGCCACACCAATTCAATTTCTTGGTTAACAGATTCGCCCGCTTCATTTTTTTCTGATTTGCAAATAAAAATAAAAATTCAGAATCAACTCCAAAAAGCTCATATTTTGCCCTGAACAGTTGAAAACAGTCCTTTTCATCCTAGTTGTTACAGTTATTCCATCTTTCAAAGCAATGGTATCATTAAAAGTTCAAAATTCATTGTTTAAATTTTGAACCAGCCTGGTGTGTTGACTTCATGGCTCCTATCGTACCATTTTGGGCCATAATAGGATGCCTAGGCCTGTTTTTATTTTTTTTTCGCCCGCCCGCTCCATTATTTTCCTAGAAAAATCCGTTAACCAAGAAATTAAATCGGTGTGGCCTGATAAGGCAATAGTAATACAGACATAATGATCAAATACTAGAAGTAATTGACCGACAAGAAAAGCACTGGTCCCATAAATAGGTTTTTAACATATTATAAGATCTTAAATCAAACATGTTGCAGTTTAATTGACTGCCAAACATAACTTCAATATTTGAAACAACAGAAAGCTCTCTCTTGTCTACATACTGTTTATATACAGAACCAACCATAGCTACAATTTGTGTACTACTAAGGGACTAGTAAGGAGACAAATTCTAAGAAGAGGGGTACTGCTTTAAGACAAAAGGTGGGAGAGAACTTTGTACAGGAACTATAATTTAATTAAAGTTCTTTCATGCAATTTAAGTTTTTTTAATATTTGTATACTCAAAATGAGTTTAACCTTCTTGCCGAAGAGTGCTCAGAGAATCAGAGTGCTATGATTAAAGTAGATTCATTTCTTTTACCATTGCTTTTCAAATGAGACTAGACTATATTCCATATTTCCGTAATAATTTCATCAGGTTGGTAAACGAATGAATAGCAAAGTTCTTTGATCACAACCATTTATTTTTCACGAGCTGACGTTTCGATGACCGTCTGTCACCTTCATCAGGGCAATTCTGACTGGTTTACTGTGCACTGACACTAGATGTTACTTGGTGC